TAATATCAGGATTGAGTAAATAAATTCATTTGGATCAATCAGACCATTACCAGCTCCAATTGGCATACCCCCACCATGTCACTGATCTTGTCGTCCACTAAAGGGATGAAGAAATATGTTGAAAATATCCAAAAAGAGATCTAAAATTTATAATTTTAAAGAAGAACCGAGAATTTTAATAATTTTAGGCCTAATACTACATTTTTATTTGCTCAACATCAAACCGATTAAACCGGATTACATTTCTGTTTGATTCAATTCAATTTTAGAAAAAGTTTGATCGAGTTTGATTTCTTAAATTTCATATTTGGTTTCACTTGGTTTGATCAATATATGAACAAATCCATCTAGATAGACCGATTGCACATACAATAAAATGTTGAAAGTAGAGAGCCATTAACTTTTTATATTAACATTGAAAGCGTGGAGAAAGATGAAAGGGAGTCAAGCAAAACAAATTTCCCATCTACACTAAAGTGTAACAAAATCAAAATCTAGGATTTTAGCCCCTTAAAGGGGCAAGAATAATCGAGATAAGTAGAACTAGAAACAATCCTATGAAACTTTCCATTGATATTGTCATGCACAAGTATCAAAAAAATTACTTCAAAGTGTCTACATGAGAAGCTCTGAAAACAAGAAATTTATATTCATGCACCATGAACCATCAAATGCTACTCAGTATATACCAACTAAATCTCAAGTAAAACAGCAAGTAGGTTAACCCAAATCAAGAAGCATAGAAAACCATATAAAATAAATTCAAACAATAAAGAAAATAAAAGACAAAACAAAAAAACAAGTGCAAGAAAGATAAGAGAAAAATTTACTACATGTCTATTTAAATATTATTACAACTTTAGGCGACAATTACAAATATTATCTTAGTGGAAAAAGTACTAAAAATTTTACATTAAATAAATTATTACGAAAAATATATCCTCCATTTCTAACTTAAATTGGCAAGGTGTTTACAATCAAGAAGAATAAAACAAATTAGCATAATTAGAAAACGATTTCCTCTCAGTAGGATACACAAGCCTAACCCAATAATTATGAAACACAAGTCATAGTTGTGGAGCCAGCATTCTCACTTGAAGTGAATTTAATCACTCTCAAACCCAATCCCCAACATTATAATCCTAGTGGGAAAGAATAGGGTCAAATGATTTTCATAGAACAATTTTTTTATTCAACACATGCCACATAGTATTTGAGGTCCTCTGGCATGCATACGAATCAACTACAAAAAATCCGCCCTCTCTCTCTCTACCCACATTATCATTAAGACAAGCTAGGCATCCAAATGATATGATTTTACATCTGAGTTGGAATGATGATAACTAGACACAATGGTGTTTCCAATAAAAATGAAATTTGCATATTAAACAAATTAGGGTTGACCTCAATCCAAATCCAACCCACTAGTAAGCATGGGGTTGACATAAACATTTATGATACTTATGCAAAAACTAGCTCTACTATACATGGTAATCATCCCTCAGTGCTAAGCCTCAAAATAATATTAAGATTTAAGGGCGAAAGTGGTTAGCAAATTTGGTAGTCAACTTGAAATTAATAGATAATCTATAATCCTCAGTGACTACAGAGGCATGGTTTTGATGGATGTTAAAACATAATAGTTCTTTCACTATAGTAAAATTACAACCTAAAAACTTTTACTTCACCTAGAAATTTAACATCAAGCCACCTTAAGCATCAATAAAAAATTTGGTCACATGTTAATGCAATAAATGGTTTTGTTGGAAAAATAGATATCCTAAAATAATGGTAATTTTTACCGAAGAAAAGAGAAACTCGTTTAAAACTTAGATTTCCCTTTAATGAATAACAATGAATCCTTCCATGATTATATGATAAAGCATGTGAAAAAATGTTGCTATAACAATAAATTCAAACGAACATGCAAAACAACCATTAGTGCAGTACAATATTTGTCACCATACAAAAATAATCATAATATACGACATTGGCAAATGGCAATACAGATAAAACACCTTGACCATCATTTAAAATTTCCTTAAAAATGAAAAGCAAATAAACATGATTTAATCCTTCTATTAAGACCTTTGTAAGAACAATCACAATACAAAAAATGAGCAAAACACAGAAAAATTACAAAAAACAAACATGATGCTTAACTTTGATCAATTAACTAAGGGTCCGTTTGGGGCGGATTAAAATCGAGGGCGACATTTTTAAAACGTCGTTGTTTTGTTTGTTGAGCACGTCTATGATGCATTTCACAAAACGTCATTTTCAATTGTTAATAAACGCTGCCATGGGAATGAACTTGCAGTCGGTGTTTCTCGCTTATGTTTTAACCCTCTGCCCTCGACCCGACCTAGCATCATCGCTCTTGCCTCTCTCACGTCAGTAGTGTCGTTCTCTCCCACATAAGACCGGAGGCCGAGCCCCCTATTATCTTCGTCTTGCAAACTACTCGGACGAAGCCCTGGCTCTGTTTTCTTCTTCCTGGGATGAAAATGAAACTCCCTCGTTGTTAGCTGCAACCTCTCGATTCAGGTACGAAGCATAAATCGAAGCCCCTTCTTCACTCTTTTGCTCGGCTGCTTTTCATACAGTCGTGGCTAGGGCTAGTTGTGAAGGCAACGACAGAATTGTAGGGTACAAAAGCAAAAATTAACGGATCTCACAAAACCTAAAAGAATTTTGCAAGCAACGTCGCGCAAGTCTGCTCTCCAAGAATCCGACCTCTTTTCTGCATATTTGCGTCTCGCATCTTTTGTCTCACCCATCTCTCACCCTAAATCGAGCCCCTCACAGGTAAGTATCTCGCATCTCTTTGAAAGTCTTTCGTTTCTTTCACGTGTGATTTCGATCTGTTGCTAGCTTGGTTACAATGGATTAGAAAGAGGTATTTCATTAATGCTGATGTTGAGGTCTGTCGTTGAACGCTTAAAATTTGCGGAAAGAGGCATTGGTGAGAGTTTTGCTTTTGACTTGTGCATGATTTCTCTCTTCTTCTGTTAATCGATGAATTTACTGTTCCTCTTTTGTTTCTCGTTGCTTTACTTGTAGAAGAAAAAAAGGCAAGCTTCGGTTCATACAGTTCTAATATTTTGGGTTGGAATAATTTGCCTTGCTACTCTAGTTTGAAAATGATTTTTATTTAATTTCATTATTGTCATCATTAACCTTCTCACGATTACTGTAGAAGAAAAGGCAAGCTTCGGTTCATACAGTTTCTATTATTCATTTTGTTAGTTTCAAGTTAAAATTGAACCTCATATTTTTTTTTTCTTTTATTCCATAAAATGAATCTTCGAAAGTTTCAGAAGGGGTGTTGCGTAGATGTTTGGATTAACCTCATTTTTTGGTGTGAAAATGTGTAAAATAAGCAAAATTGGGGTATAAGATTTCTGCCACCGCTAAGTTTAGAGAGCTCAATACATGCTATCTCAAACTTGCATGGTTGGATAGGATGTTTCTCTGAATTATTGTTAGAATGTCTATGTTTTAGTTCATAAAATTTGAAGTTCTTTCTTTGAATGATAATTTTTTGCGTTAGTTTCTCGATCTTTTACGAGTTTGAGGATGATGACGAAACATATTACATATTATAAGATGCATTATTTATCATAAATTTAAATGTAATTTTAATTAGTTTTTTTTTTTTTTAGGATCTTGATACTCACTGTTAAGTGAGGTGGATGTATTTTTTTTGGTACTGTTATATAGTGGTTTTTTGCTTTTAAACTATAAAATATGTAGCTATTATATTTCTGTTGCAAACAATACTACTGCATAGGGCAGAATGGTCATTTATCCAAAAATAACTGCATATAATCTGTTTTATAAATGCATAAACCAAACAGTCTGTCAGCTTATTCAGATAAGTTGTTAATCAGCAGCTCATCCAGATCAGCTGCTTATCAGCAGATTATTGGTAAGTTGCAGGTGCCCCAAACATATGCTAAGTCCACGTGGCATCAATGTACTGTACATTATGATTAAAGATATAAAATCGCCTGAATTTTACACAAGATGTCCTACGGCTTACAAGATTGAGTCCCTAGGACAAACCATGACTCTGGACAATGATGCAGCAGCTAGTACCTCAAATTACATATGTTTAATTTATCCAATAGATGCTAGTTTCATCCACATCCTTCCATGGCAAATATAAAAAAATTAGACCTCTTGACGGCCATAATATTTTACTCGTATAGTTTCACACTTCCTATTCAACCAGTAAAGGTAAAATGATTACCAAAAACAAACATAAAAATGGAGTGCTGACCTAAAATAAGTAGAGACTCAATTTAATTAACTTAGTAACTGGATTGCAACTTATCAATATACAAGGCAAGACATAATAACTATTTCCTTCCAATCAATGTTTGCTAACATAATTATGCCAACAACCTGATTGTGCGGAAGTTATTCAAAGGTAAACAAAGGCATGTTTTCCTATCCATGTATATGCAGATTAAGAGCATCTACCTGTAACAAAATATGACTGACCCGATTAACCTTCATGCAGCGTCCTTAGATAACTCTCTTCATAGAACCATGCCAATCAAGAAATATTTCTCAGAAAAAAGAAAAGAAAAGTAGTAAACATAATCATAATAACAAGAACAATCATAAAAATGAGGAACAAAAATCAACAGTGTTTCGATGGCAAGTGGGCCTTCTAGACACATTAAAGAGATTTATGACTATAAACCAGTTCAAAACAATAGAATCTAAGAACCGTTGAATCACATAATTCAAACGGACACACAACAAGGGAAAAAGGATAAGGGGAAGAAACTAAATAGCTCTAAAGTCGTATACATTCGCTATCCTGCCTTACTCTAATATCAAACCACCCGTGAAACTTTCAGTTTCCTACTGGCTATAGGATAAGTTTGTTGCTCCAAGATTAATACGTAAGCATCAAAAAACACAACATAAAAGGAAAAGTTTAACGTAATTGAAGTGATTTCATCCGTGCTTAAATTCATTATTACCTAGGTAGCACCAACAATAATGTTGTTGATTGGAATAAAGATCAGCTTCACGAAGAAGCCCACAAATCCCATGACTACAAAACCAATCGCCGTCCGCACTGCCACCTTCGTAAACTCTGCATTCCAAATCCAGCCATTTTAATTCCAACTATGTCCCAAAATAAAAAATGAAGATCTAGAAATCTACGAATCGCAATTCGATCGGCAAGTGAAGAACAGGAGGAGGACGACGGGCTGTGATTGGGAGCTTACCCTTCCTGTCCGGCTTGTGGCATCGCTTCACGAGACGGACGCTGTCCTTAGCGAATTCCCTCACAGGATCAACAACAGAGTCTACGGCATCCATCAAGCTCGTCAAATGGCGACGAGCTGATTTGAGAGATGAAGGCGTCTTTTCGCGAGGGATGGCCGATGGGGAATTAGGGCAGAAACTAGACCGACTAATAACAAATTTTTAATGAAATAATAATCATATATTAATTAAATATTGAAGGACATTTAAAATTAATTTAGGGGCATTAAAAACATATCATATAATTCTTTTATATATATATATATATATATTTCTTTTATCATTATTAAATTTTTAAATCAAGAATATCATGCATAAATTTAGGACACCAATATTATAAATATAAACGTCAGACTTCAGGTATTAAATATATAAATACATAAGAATTGTGGATATGTAAGTAAATTTCTTATTATTTATATAAGAGAAGGTATAAAAATAGTTATTGTTCAAAATCCAAACTCCTTTTTTCTACCCAATCATTTTATTGCAATGGATTTAATTATTCTTTTTGTTCATTATATATATTTTAATGAGACAAAAATTTGTACCTTCAACTTGTTATTGACTAATAAAAAATGTAGCCCTAAATTGATGCAAGGCATCATAATATTTAAAATCAATTATATACTTAAATTAGTGAATCTCTTATTATACTTCAATCTTAAGTTATATTTAGCCAAACATGACATTATTTTGTAGACACAAAACAATAGCTTGAATGTCTCTTCTCACACCGTAAAAAAATTTCAACAATCTATTCTGAAATTGACACATTTCTTGTTGACATTGCAAATTTTGATATAGATGTCTTCAATGATGGAGTGTTTTCTCGTGATATTTCTCGTGTCGTCCCTTTTTAATTGGCTCCCACTTCTATTACACTGTAGTTAGGTGTGTTCTTTCAGATTTATAATATGTTTAAATCATCTCCAGCATACAAATACATTTGAATCATCACAATCATTGCACACGAGCAAATTATATAATAAAACTATTGATAAGAGTTTAATTTAAATTTTTTTTTTTTTTTAAGTCTCTACGATGCAGGTTTGTGGTTTCTATTTAGAGTTTTTCCATAGTATCTCTTGACATATCGTCTAAGGAATTCATTGGTTTTCAGCATAGCTCTCAAAAAGCAACCTCGTATTTTTTTGATTATGTAGAGAAATATGACAAGATTCCTGATATTAAATAATCATTAGATTTGAACTTTAATAATACATCTTTAATAATACGTGAAATTAGGGCAGGCATTATAACATAAAAAAGGAATGCTTGCTTCAATCATTTATGATTTACAACAACTACCAACCATTTTAACCATGTTACATATTTCCAAACATTTCAATAATCATTGAGTTTTGAGACTAGGCAATCATTGAAGTTTGTTCACATCATTGAAAAGAACAAATGTCTCACGAGATTGACATTAAATTTATTTTGCCTTGTTTCTCGATGAATTTGACTATTTTTATGATTAAACAATTAAAATGGAATTTGATGCTATACATTGCACGTTAAATCTAATCTATAAATAGTATTGTACAAATGCTCTTAAGTATGTGTGCAATGTTATACACAAATCCATTTCATATTTGTTACAACTATTTTTATGTAACCAATTTTTAGTTTATAGCTAATATTTATTTTTATTACAATTTTATGGATGTGCTTCACTTGACAGAATCACTATAAATTTATGCGTATACCTTCTATAAAAGATTAATTTTCGACACAAGAAAAATAGTAGTTATTAAAAAGATTAGTAGGTTATAACTATGGTGCATTTGTTGATAAAAAATTGAAGTTGCATCAGAATTGAGTGATAATCATATTTAAAAAACCTATGAATTATAGATAAGACATCATATTTTTGCTTATGCAAAAATATCTACGTAAGTTGGGCGCGCAATCATCAACAAAATTTAAAAAATATTTGTGTATAGAGAACGTGATTACTTGATATGGTACCCATATATCTCAATGTATGTGATCATAAGTATGTTTGGATATATGATTATGTGAAACAAAAGGCGAATGCTTTTGTTTAGCTAGAGGACATATATGACAAAGATCTCCCTTATTACTTATAGATATATCAAATTATAGTTGATTTTGTCGACCAACCATCCTTTTATAAGATGAGTTTTCGAGCGTATCATGTCGAACATGAAATGAACCATTATTAGCATATGAATTCTAATATGTTCTTGTAAAGTCGAGAACATGGAGATTTTATTCCTTATTACCCCTGTCAATCGTTCTCTTCGTACTAATTTTCTTATTGATAAAACAATCAGGGAAAAATGTGATCGTCAACCTCTTATCTCAAACAAAATAATTCACATAAAGCACATTAAATCTAAAATTAGGGATAAATAATATATCATGTAAAGTAAAAACAAAATTAAGCTCTACATCCCCAACACAAATCAACTTGGATGATAGTATGATCGAGCAGCATAACAATGGTATCTTTTATGTGTTTGACATTTGTAAGAAGTTTATTATTTGACCAAATATGAAGTGAGGCACCAGAGTCAACCATCCAATAGCTAATAAGTTTTATTGGTGAACAAAATGAGAGAGAGAAACATGTAATTGTCATTGTGGATTGATGATATTTTGCAGTATATTCATTAGTTGCTTGTAGTATGTTTCATTTAGGATATTAAAGAAAATTGTGTCCATCTAAGTGAAGCTCCCAGTGTCAATTGAAATTTGGTTGTTTTTCTAAATTTATGGTTGATCCTAATGGTCGTGGCTCGTATATTGGGGACAGTTGTGTATGTAACTCATAACAATGTTATTTGGCGTGTTTGCTGCGATTATCATGAATGCATAATGAATGATCTCTCATTTGATTATTGAAATTATTTGAGTTATAATTTTGATACTTAACACTTGTGTTATTACTCCATTCAATAGAACATGTCATTATGTTTCGAGCATTGTTGATAGCCAAAAATGATCCAATGGATTGTTGTTACTCTTCTTGGCAAAATCAAAGAGAAAACATGATTTATGGGAGGCAACAAATCCAATGAGAGAATTTTGAGCACAAGAGCGTGAGCGTCGTTTCATCTCACGAGGAAAGTCATTGGAGGCATATTATGCATTGTTTCAGAACATAGAATGTTGGCCGACATTTCTTTGAATGGCATGACAACATTGTTACACACGTCCAATAATTGATGAGTTCCACGTTCCTACCTTCTACTTTGGTGATGGTACGACACCATCTACTAATATCAATTTGTTTTTAGTACATAGGCGATGAGCATTGACTTGTGCCAAGAGGTGTAATTGTCAACATTCGAGAGATTAGTGATATTCTAGTGTTGTTCATGTAATTCTCTATTGATGAGTTGGGCTCGATGTGTGACAGTGACTCGTGAACTGTGCTCAATAAGCTAACAAGCCAAGCTTAAGCCAGCCCCAACTCGACTCGGTAGCTTATAAGCCGACTCGTCTAAAAAATTATTATCATAAAATATACTCAAAATATATTAAATTTCTAAACTTTATCAATAAGGTATTAAAAATGTTAAGAAAATAATATTTTTTATTGTATATTTATGTAGTGATTTCTTATTATTTATGTCCTAATTGTTTATTCTATTATAAAGTTGTTTAAAATTATGATAATTTTCTCTCTTTTATATTATACAAGCCGGCACACGAGTCAGCTTGAACTCGTAGACTTAAGCCCGAGCTCGATAAAATTAATCACGCTCAAGCTCAAATCAAGGGAGGCTCGAGCACGACTCAACTCGACCGTTCATATAATGTGCGTAATTATGAAAGTTTAAATGTGAAATAGTTAAATATGAAAGTTTTGGGTGTTATGTATGTAAAAGCCCCTTTTTTATTTAATCTAAGTGCTTGCAAATTAAACAAAAATAACATTTATATACACATCACATGTTTTTCATTTAATTACATACCTAATTAACGCCTTACAGAAGTTTCATATCTTCAGTATCACATAAAAAAAAAATCACTTTTTTATGCACAGGTTTGGCATCACATCAAAGTGCTATACATAAAAATATCAAAATTTTGGTGATAGATATGTAAATACAAAAGAATTATGTGGTATGTATGTAAATACATAATTATAAGAGAATTATGTGATATCCGCTGCCATAACTAGATTGATGACCCAAAATTTTGATTAATTTTGCCGTGTTTTCAAAGAAAAAATATTACATCAGGACTTTGCACGTAGACTTACATGCGGAGTCCAATGAAATCGCGTCAAAAAAATCAACCCGGTAATACAGGGGAATATTCCTCACGTTTTATTTAGTTGTTATTGTATGTTATTCACATGTTATTGTGTTTTGGGAATATTTCTGGTGTTATAATAACACAATAACACTTGAATAACACACAATAACACCTGAATAACACAGGAGGAATATTCCCTTATGTTACCGGGCATATTTTATTTTATTTTTTGTCACCGTCACGTGGCGTGATTTCATTTGTACTTCACACTTAACTCTACGTGCGGAGTCCTGATGTAACATTTTTTCATTGTCAAAGTGATGCAAAAAGAAAATTACAAGAGTTTTTAAAATGTTAATATTGATTGGACGAAAAAAATTCTAATACAATTTTCACCTATTTGAAACTCATCATTTATGTCAATATACATCAAAAGCTGCTCACTGCTGCTTGGGATATCTTGATGTAATTTTTAGAGATAATTACATAATGACCACCCCAAACATTGATATTCACAAATTCATCACCCATATACTTTTTTTGAACTACTAAACAAATGTATTTACCCATGCAATGATCAAACAATAATAATTTGATAAAAATGAAAAAGATGGGTTGGGATTTGAATTTTGATATTTGAATGAGTGTGAATAATAGATGAAAGAAGGGGTTGATTTGCAAATACAAAGTTTCATGTGTTCTGTATGTAATTGGCCCAAGTTTTTATTATGATGAGCTTCAAAATTTTTATCTTTTATTTTTTAACTCTCAAAAAGAATATTATAAACCATTAAAAACTCAAGATTGTGGCCTCTGTAGGGAAAAATCTGAGCCACGTGGCAGGTAGGTCTCACCCCTCTAAAAAATCTACATAATCAGTGTTATGACCCACTTGCCATGTGACAAGTGCCAACCGAACTCCGAACACAAATTTACTTCCGGTGTCCTGATGCAATAATCTATCCTCTTAGAAGAGTGTATTTGGTTTATATGGATAAATTTGATCATAAATTTATAGAAGTAATTGATTCTTTTCACCTAAAAAATATATATATGGACTGATCAAACAAAACATATCAGCCAAAGCAATCTAAACAATAAATTGATTTATTTTTTTCGGTTTAGTACTGATTAAACTGAAATTAATTACAATGATTAGATTTATTGCATTAAAAAGTAATGAACATGATTCAAATTATATAATTAAAAACAATAAATAGTTTTTTATTTTTTTGTATTATAAAACATGGTTAAAATTCTATAATTCAAAAGCAGAGTTATAATCATATAATCACGCAATGGAAAGATTACAAGGACTTAATAAAGCTATAAATTTATAAATTCCACGATCCTCACCTACAAAAAGATTTAAATACCATATCCAACTAAACAATTAGACGCACTCAATTAAACAACTCACATTTGCTCTAGGTCAATTGAATTTGGCCACAATTGTTTTGGCTTATGAGCCGACTACAAAGCCAATATAACATTCTGCAGCCATACAAAGATTCCATGACCATATAAATTTTGAATGATCATATTATATGGTTATAGGATATAAAACAAATGAGTTCAACAACATTATAATAAGTTCAAAATAAGATATAGAACATGTGAAAAGTTTTATGAAAATAGCTTATTTATTTTTTTATTATGCATTAGGTCTATTGTTTAAAAATACACTACTTCAAAGTAGTGTTGACTTCACCAGACTAAGAAAGCTACTTAAAAGAGGTTCATAGGCTTAGTTTGTGTTCGGCTCGTTAAAAAATATCACTTTTCATGTTCGGCTCGTTTATATATATATATATTTTTTTAAATTGTTCGTGTTTGGCTTGCTTGCTTAGGGAGTTAAACAAGAGCTGTTTACGAACAAATAATCATTTTGACAATCCTAGTCATGTAGGCGTAGGATGTTAAGGGTAGGAACAAGATTTATATCTTTCTATTTATATTAAAACATTATTTAAATATAATTTAATATTTTTTAAGTGTTTTTATAATAACTCTTTTTAGCCTTGTAAATAATTAAATTATTTTAAAAAACTATTCATCAATTTTATATATAATATAGGTGCCGCCAGTCGTGGCCTGTTGGTAGAACAACCTCTTTGAAGTTCGTAAGTCCCCTTAGGTTATGAGTTCAAATCCCCCTCTGACCAGTTTGTCAGTAATGAGGGCAGTCATTGAATAGTTAGATGCGTGAGAATAGTTGGGGGCTCGTATAATAACCTCAATCTATTCTTATATATATATATA